CCAAATCACCCATGACCTCCTCCAACCTTGACTCCATATGCGTGGTGTGTTCGTCGAGTCGAAGGGTCAGCTGCTCTTCCGCCCTCTCTGCAACCGCCTGGGCGATCGAGTTGGCGGTGTTCTGAGCGAAGAGCTCCTGGGCGAGGTACGCGAATGCGATGAGACCTTTGCGGGCGAGATCTTGGGCGGGCGAACCGAACGCGAAATGGAGGAGTCCAGTGACCAGGGCGGCTTCTGTTACGGCAGAGTTGCCTTCGGGTATGAGGGTCTTCTGCTGTAGAAACTGGATCGCTGCTTCGACGTCGGGGAGGTCCTTCTCCGCCTCTGCGAAGGCTTGCTGCTGAGTTGCCGGCCTCTTCGTCGCCGAACGCCTCGTCATCGGTCCTGTCGCTGTCGCTGGCGTGGTCGTCCGGGCGCTTGTCGATGTCGGGGCCGTCGGGGGGGTGCTGCCCGCCCTCGACGCCGCGCGCTGCCCTGGTTTGTACATGCCAGGGATCCAAGAACTCTCCAGTCGTACTAGCTATGCTACACCAGACCAGAACTGCTAGACCGCACGCCCTTGAACTCCCCCTAGGAGATCGAAAAGCGTGGGAAAAAAGCGGCGGGTGGTGGTGTGAAGCCAAGGAGAGTCCTAGTGAGGTACTACGCAGTCACGGTGAAGCTGAAGTTGCTCGAGGATAATTACTTGATCCCTGCACTCTTGATTTGAAGAATTGGGCCCGGGGGCCGAGGAAATTGGACGGCCATATGAGCTGCAACATCGGTAGGCCCGCGCAAGTGAGCTTACAATGCTCGAAGTCTGGAGTCCTCGCAGTTACAGGGCAGATACAGCCGGGACGCGAGCACGATCAAGGGCGTCTACACACCTTTGTACTCGACCATCATCGTCTAGCCGTCTTTCGAATTCGCTTGGATGGCCCTGCACCTACTCTACGCCTTCTATTGAGGCCGCATAGTGGACCAAGTCAAGGCTAGAAGACAGCCTTTCAGGGTTTCGTTCACATTGTCTAGGTCGAGGCAAGGACTCCGACTTTGAAGACCGAGCTATTCGTCCTTAATCCTGGGCTCTCTTCTCGCCGGGATGTCATCTCCTGGTTGACTGGTGCTATGGGGTAATCAATACTGGATATTGAGGTGCACATTGATAGGCATGTCATCTGTCGTCGTGACTTGATACTGGAATTCCTTGCGGTTGCCCGCGATTTATTCGCGCTGGAATTGCAATGGCATGCGCATGTTGGGATTCTCGAGACGAATACACGGGATACGGTACGTACATTATCCTTCCATGGCCTTCTGGGTGACCCGTCCCTCCGACATTCATCACCCCGAGTATCCTGTTGCTTTTGACCGCTCACTTGGATAGCTGGCACCGAGCAGGATCCACGCATGTCATGCAGTATGAGTGGATGTCTTGAACCTGTTCCGTGTGAGTACAGGGCAGGTAGGACAGAGGCGCAAGGTGGCGCGGCTCGGACGAGGGTAGCACTAGCCCATCAGCGTCGCTCTAGAGCGGTATACAAGTAGCAATAAGGTAGGGTGTACAAGCTAAAGCATACAGAGGCGTTACGGGATAGGAATGCTATCGGTTTGGGATGGAAGTACTTGGTTCGGTCTCGCGAATCAACGTTCAGCGCCGCTCTCTCCATTCGTGGTGCTCTCGCCTCGGTCATCATGATCTCGATTCGTCTTGTACACACCTACGCTGTACCGGTGCAGCAGCTGGGACCCTTCTTCTTCTTCTTCTAAATCCATTTATTGTCCCGTAAGGGCCGAGCCCCATGTCGGACACAATAGACATGTGCGCTACAACACCAGCCAGTATACTAGTCTAAATAAACAGTGGCCCCCGGACGTCCAAGGACGCCCGAAAGGATACTGCTGGGACCCTCACTCTTAGGTGTTCGTGTGTTCTCGCAGTCCGAGCCCGCCTCGTGCTCACGCGAGGGGTTCGGAGACCCGTGCAATGCACTAATGACTACAAATTGAGCGGTGTACTAAAGTCCAGTCCCTGATGGTACTCGCAGGGCCTTCGCCCAATGGCGATGCCCTCACCAGCCTGCACCTTCCGGGTCACCCACCCATCCCTGCCCTCCACTCGGACCTTGATGCATAGGTCGTCAGCGTCGTCAACCTCGTGCAGCGCCCCACAGATACCGTCCCCGAAAGGGTGGGGTACGTACTCGTCGTCCTCTTCCGCGTTTGGGTCACGCAAGAAGGGATGGTACAGGGCCGTACGCGGAGTCATCCGACGAGTAGAGTCGGGTTCCATCGCCTTTTCGAGGAAGTCGAAGGCGAGGTCAATTTCCGCCGAGTATCGGTCGGCCTCTGAAGGGGTGGGAGACGGCGTTCTGTTAGATTGTGAGGAAGGACCGGGAGAAGACGAAGAAGAGGGATATTGGCGAGTGCGGGTGCGGTGTTCGGGAAGCGTATATGGATAATAAGTGTACTCGGGTGGAGGCGGCACTCGGACGTCAGGGTTCTGTCGTTCGACGAACTCCTTCCAGGAGATGCCGTCGTGCGTGAGGGACGGGACATTCGACTGGAAGACGCGACCTAGCGTGCGCGATGTCAGCCACATGAGAGCAAAGTAGTCTAGGGATGCGTACTGTGCAACGTTGCCGTCTTCTCCATACGTCGCCGCCCGATGACAGTCGCAATCTCCATGAGCGCCTCAGTGTCGTCGTTCGACTGGAATAGCGGGAACTTCTTCGTGAGGAAGAATAATAGGATCATTCCTGCAGACCAAACGTCGATCGCTACGAAGCGAACGTGAGCATCTAGTGCGCCGAAGTTGAGGCGGCGACCATGTACCTCCTGTCTGTTCGCCACACTTCAACAGTACCTCCGGCGCGCGAAATCCTCTCGTCCCGGCGCGATTGGCCTTCGAGTGCGGTCTATGCGCAAGGTCAGCGACCGTCGAATGCAATGAACATCTGATTGCCCGCTTACCGTGTGTCCTTCTCAGGATACCCGACTTTATCTGACGGTCCCGCGCTCCGGAGACGGCCCTCTTTCTGCATCTTCTTGATGTGGTCGATGTCGAACTCAGTCCGACCCTTTAGTCGTCCATGGGGATTCTCGCGCGTTGGTGTTGTGTGCAGACACGATCCCAGCGTTGGGCCCTTTTCGACACGCTGCAAATTACATGCAGAGCATCAGCGATCGCAGGCCATGAGGGAATGTCAGTAACGTACGCAGGCGAGACCAAAGTCACACAGGGTGCCTATGCCTGTACGCGGGTCGAAGAGGAAGTTGGCTGGCTTCACATCACGGTGGATTATACCTCGGGCGTGAATGTCGCGCAATGCTCGGAACATGCACCGGAAGTACGCTTTCACACCTTCAAGAGGAAGGTACTTATAGTAGTCCTGCAAGTGATTTTGTTAATGTGAATACCTGAGCGTCAAGAGAACATAGTTGAGTAGATGAATGGTGCATGGACGGCTCGGCATTCACCTCCATGCCCGTAGCACGGTGCGTCCGTGGAGATGAGACGCATCTATCCTCGGTCCCACGTATGCGGGCGTTTGAGTAGGAAAAGACGGCAAGAAGTCACAAGGACGGACTTAGAGAAGGCAGAGGCGCGTTTGGGTGCAAATGTTGGAGGATATATTTCCCGTCAAAGGGCAAGAAGTTCGTGACAAGTCGTAAGAGACGACCCCACGAATGCTTTCGGCCTCTCACCGTGGCACGAGTTTGGGTCCGGAGAAGCAGGTACATATCCGCACAGGCCAACTCGCGTGATGTGCTGCCGAGCAGTCTTGAGTATAGAGAGGTATGAGAACGCACCCTGAAATCATCGTTCTTGTGGAACGGCATAATAGCGACGACCTGGTCCTGATGTCGGAACGCAGTGATGAGCTGAGAGACATGTCGACACCCTCGGCAGTCTTCCATGATAGCGATCTCATTTCGTATTCGTTCGGGACCACTGGTGACGTATATGCGCTTGATTGCGACGAACACCTTATTCTCGGACGGGTGCGGGGCGGTCTGGTAGTAGGCGGAGGAGGATTGGGGATGGTGGCCATGCCACTCGGTGTTGTCCCACTTGTCATGGTAGCCAAGGTCTATGGCTTTGTAGACAGCGGAGAAGGTACCTGTTCCTAAGCGGTCGATGATCTTGTAGTCCTCGGTGAGTTGTGGAACAGCGACCTCGAGGTCAAGGATCTCCTCCTCAATCTCCGCTTGCTCGTCGCGCGACTTCAGGTAGATGGTTGTCTCCTCATCGGTTTCGTCGTCGTCCTCCTCCGGTTCTTCCTCTTCCTCGTCTGGCTGGTTGTCCTCCGCGCCGTTTGCCATGTCCTCATCCCCTGAACCCTCGTCACCGAGCATCTCCTCATCTCCGTCCTCTTCTACCTCGTCATTCTCCATGTCGTCGTTATGAGCTGGTGGCCCGTACTCATACGATTGCGTGTTGGAGTTGGGATATAGTCGTGCCAGGTGGGTATGGTATTCATCCATGTGGGGTAGGTTGTAGTGGCTAAGAGGGTCGTCAGACGACGGTTCCTCGCCTGCGTATTCGCGTTCAACTTGCATAAGTCGCTTGAGGTATATCCTGTTACGTGCGTCGGAAGAAGGAACCTCAAGGGGGTTGGAGGAATGGCGGGAGAGAAGAGCCGTGGCAGCCATTTAACCAAGAAGACGAGCCCAGTCAAGAAGTCACGCCGCGAGGAATACAACGGTCTCGCCTGAGCGGCAAGCAAGTCAGGGTTGCCAGCGACGTGTACGCGAAACGGCACGAGTACAATGAAGGCGTTGGGCGTTGGAGATGACGAGAGACGGCAAACACAAAGACTCGAACATTCAGCCACAGACGCGTTTTGGACGCGTCGCAACGAGCGCTTACCGTGCCAAGCGGGAGCGCCTCCCCACTTCCGTCCGCTCTGCCAGGCTCTGCCTTCAATCTCGGGTTCAGAGCCTGAGGTGTGCAAAAGTTCCATCTCTCCAACTGAACACCGCCTGAACATCACCAGGATGAAGCAGAGCCACAAAAATGACCACCGCAGGACTCGAACCTGCAACCTTTTGGTCCCCCAAGGTTTCTGATTAGAGTACAGGAAGCCGTTAGGCGATCGAAGCCAAACGCGCTACCATTGCGCCAGGTAGCCATGGTAGAAAATCTATGCTGATGTATACATGGCGCTCAGGCAGTATTGGACTGGCCGCTGAGGAGGTGTCCGCTTTCTTTGCTTCGGTCATCCATGTCGTCCCGTACAGAGCTTTGACCAGCCAGGCTAGATGCTGCTGTACGACGATCTCCCTTACTACCTCTATACTCTCCTTGCCAGTCCTGCCTTCCAACAAATCGCGCCGCTGGTCATTCTACTCGTTGTACCTACTCTTGTCCTCGTTATAAACTCGTACAGACATACCATCGCGGCCAACGTCTTGATGGTCTTCGACACGCTTGCCCTCATACTACCCTGGAACTGGTCGGACAATACATCCCATGGCAGTGGCTCTTCGGACCGGAGGAAGCTGAAGCGAAAACAGCATAATCGCTCTCGGGACGACCAAGTAGCACGGACGTCTAGCCAAGGTACGCAGCGACTGAGTGCACTAGGCCGACCAGTGATCAACGGTGCCTTAGACAGCTCGTATGACAGTCCAAGCGAGGATGGGTATTATCCAGGACTGGTCAACATCTCCGGGACATACTGCTTCATGAATTCCACTGTCCAGGTGAGCCATCTCCTCCTAGCGGCACGTATGTGGTCTGACACGTTGCAGGCCATGGCATCGCTATCCTACTTGCAACCACAGCTAGAGAAGATACATGCGAGCGCTGTAGTACTGGATGTGCCGACCCCAGTCATTGACTCTTTGCGAGACCTCCTCCACAGTTAGTGAGATGTCAAACTTCCGTTTGCACCGCTGAGTCGAGTCCACAGTGCTCAATACACCATCCTCCTCCCCTCGAGCCATCCGGCCCGTTGACATCATCAGCGCCCTGTCGAATCACAACACGGGCAAGCATAATTCGCTGTTCTCGTCGCGGGAACACCAAGACGCGCAGGAGTTGTTCCAACTTCTTTCGGAATGTATCAAGAGCGAAGCTGTCGCTGTCGCCAAAGAGATGCAGCGGGATCGCGGCCTCGGTGGCTTGACGCAACATGACGATCGTGCGAGTCGCGACATGAGCAAGACCGTGTTCGACGGCCTGACTGCAAACAGGCGCAGCTGCGTGGAATGCGGATACACGGAGGCGGTCATGCACTTCCCCTTTGACAATTGGCAGCTTGCCCTCCCTCGAATGGCCGTGAGTCCCTATGACGTCTCGACCGGCTAGTAGATCTGATGTCATAGAAGGCTGCATGCAAACTTGAGGACTGCCTCGATGATTACACGAGGCTAGAGTTACTCAACGATTGCATCTGTCGGAAGTGCTCTATGCTCGCGACATATCAGCGATTACAGCAAGAAGCGGACAGGCTAACAGAGGCTTCTCAAGCAAGCAACGATCCCACGTCTTCCAAGAAGAAGCGGGCGCGCGACAGCAGAAAATCGTTGGCTCGGGTGAAGGCTGCTCTGGACGAGGGTCGGATAGAGGAGGATATCAAAGAGGTCAAGCTTGACAAGGTGCTCAGCAAAGCCTCGACCAAGCAGTCGATGATTGCACGGGTACGTCCTGCTTTCCTGTACTGATTCGTCCTTGGCCTAATTGTGTTCAGCCACCACCTGTCCTCGCCCTCCACCTCAATCGCTCCATGCACTACGGCCACTACGCCGCGAAAAACAATTGTAGGGTCAATTTCCCTGAGCTTCTCGATCTTACGCCCTATACGACCTCTGGTCAGCTCTCCACCCAACCATCCGCCCCCATATCATCACCGCCTCCTCCCATACCAATCCAACGCTCCATCACACCGACTCCCTCCACGTACGCCGTCCCTCGTACGTTATACCGCCTCTCCGCTGTCGTATGTCACTACGGCCAGCATTCCTTCGGACACTACATCTGCTTCCGCAGGAAACCTCGTCCACCAGCCGCCGGCGACCGCCGTTACGCCCCGCCACGACTCGCCTGTCCTCTGGGTTGTGAATGCCAGCGGTGTCAGCAATACGGCCCGGTGCGCGATGACGAGTGGCCAGACTCCGCAAGACCTGGGACTGGGCGCGGCTGGCTGCGAATAAGCGACGACTCCGTCCAGGAATGCGGGATTGAGCGCGTGTTGCAAGAAGGTGCTGGGGCGTTCATGCTCTACTACGAGCGTGTGCACCAACCACGGTCACTGTACACAACCCCGCCGCGTGGATCGGAGGAGACCGTTCGGCCAGACGAGGGGCGCGCATCTACGACGGACGTCAGTCGGAAGATACCCCCCGCGGCGCGCGTGTCCAGTGGAGATGTGTCGAAGGACCGAGAGCGGAGAGACAAGCGTGAAGACAGAGAACGCTCCGTCGACCCGAGGGTTGTCCGTCGGGTGTCCGCCGGCCGTTCCAGCTCGGGAAGGAAGGCATCCACGTCCAGCGTCGCTGCGCCTCCGCCTATGTTGAGGTCAACCAGTGGGAGCTCAGCCGTCACTGCGGTCTCCACCTTCAGCCAATCCAGCCAGTCCACTCAATCTAGCCAGTCCACTCAGTCCAGCGAGAAGACCGTGAACGGCGACGCCACCATGCCGAACGAATACACACATTCTCACCACTCCCACCACTCTCATCATTCGAATGGACATGCGGACCCGGGCAATTCGCAGCGGCCTCCATTACCGCCTTCCTCTCCGTCCAAGTCTGGCCGTCTGAGGAAGACGAAGAGGTCGGTCTCCCATGCCGACGGCAACCCTGCCTCGCCGACACAGACGAACCCTCCGTCCACGCCATTACGGGCATAGGCTCTCCATCTTCCCTCCGTCGTAACTGTTATTGGCTTACACTATGGCACACCTTACTTACCCCCACTCCACGTTGCGCGGTCTTCACTTCATTCCGCTATGTACTTACGAGGTTCCGAGGATTCAGGAATGCACACGACGTGCTAGTCTTCTCTGCTGCCCTCACGGTGCAAGAGCGTGTGGCTGGCAAACTTTGGGCGAAGTAACCCAACTCTGAATTGCTAGGTATATGCACAGAGTCCTTTAGTCGTCCAGAGAAGATGTTTCCGATAGATGATAAATGACGACAGTCTAGCTACATACATGTGGGGGCAAAAGCAAGAACCCGTCCGATCCAAGAACAAGGGAAGAGCGTACACCGGGGGTACCATCCTAGCTAGCTATGTCACAACCTCCCGCGCACGCGCGGGGTAGTCCAGGAGTGTCAGACACATACATACGTCCTACATATCCCTGCGTAGAAAGGCCGAACGGTAGAACGTCGGGTAGTTGCGATAGTTTGATCGTCAAATAGCACTGTGTTCGAAGAGGGTTCCAGAGCGCACGCCGTTCCCAGTCCCTGAAGCTGAGCGTGGAGATGATACATAGTGGAATCCGTGTGTGAGAGCGAGATGGTGTGCGTGGTCACCAGTAGATGGTGCGCTCGATGGTACGCTTGCGCTGGGGCGAAGGGAGGTACGAGACAGTGCGACGGACGCGCGTCACGGTGGGGTACCTGCGCAGGCGGAGACAGTAAGCACACCTCTGCGCAGAACCTTGAGAGGTCGAGAAGACGCACCATGCGTGGTAGACCTCACCGGGGTCCAGCTGAACCTCGACAATCTGCCGGCCCTGGAGGCATGACGAGACGTCAGCGGCGCGACATGAGTGGGGCGCAGGAGCGGGAGAACGTACGGCATAGTCAACGTGAGAGCCGATGACGAGACCCTCTCTCTTGCCAGTCGCGTGCTGGACGGCCACGATGTCTCCGGGCTGTTGTGCGTTATACGCGAGTGAGGTTCCCGGCAAGAAGCAAGGCAATAGGCGCAAGACAATGCGTAGGATGAGCGAGATGAAGGGGGACACTGCGCGCGACGTGGGGGATACGCACGGCAATCTCATCGGAGTAGGACGACATGGTAGTATCACTTGCGGGGGTTTATTTGCTTGTATTGCTTGAAACGACCGGTTGAGGGTACGATGTGGGGGGTCGGACAGCCAAGGACTACGAGAAGCTCGGTCTTGATGAGTCGGCGCGCGAGGGCGGGACGGCGAGCGATGGGGTCGACGACGGCGGGAGTCGCTGGTCTGGAAGACGCAGAGAGAAGGGTGGAGAAAAGGTGCGGAAATTTGAGGGGGCTTTATAGGCAGATTAGATGCCCGGCCGGTTCGCTTGCCCGCGCGAGGCAGCCATGAGGCGGCCCTGGTCTTCGCCCGCGTGCTCTGGGGCGTGCGCATCGGGCAATGGCGTTGTACTCAGTGTCCGTTCCCCGCTATTGTCTCTGCCCGCGCTCTCGCACGCTCGACTTCCGTGCTGTCGCGCTCTTCGCGTCGGACAGCGAGGGCGATGGAGGAGGAGACGCGACGGGTAGCGCACCAGGACGGAGCTACTGAAACTTGGCTGGAGTTGTTTGTACACCGTGTTTGCGCGACGGAGGTGGCTCGGCGCGCGCGAGACAGTGATCAGAGGGTCCGTGGCGTCTGCGAAAGCTTCCGTCAGAGCACACACCGAAACGGCGCGGCATCAGACCACCGCGGGCAGCGTGCAGAAGGCGATGATCAATGGAAGCCCAAGGTTTGGGGGAGCTGCTCACCGGACTCGACAGCGAGCTCGAGGCGCAGCACAGCGCGCGGCATAGCACCTCCATCGCGTGCACACCACGGTGCGATAGAATACACATAGATTATACAACCAAGGGCGCCGAGTCCTAGGGAGTACAGGTCCAGTCTGACATTTACGCTACAGCTCCAGCATCTTCGGGTCTACTGAGAAGTCGAAGACGTCAAGCCCAACGCACCGAGAACACGCCCACTCCTGCGTTCATCATGAGGGCAGTCCACATACCTTGCTATCGCCTCCTGATGGCAGCCACCATCTCCCTGAACATGTCCCGCAATCCGAACGCTCCCCAGCTGGCCCCTCCTTGCCCTCCGACACCACCTGTCTCTTCGTCCCAACTGCCAACAGTTCTCCGAGGCGCACCGTAGCCCTCCCGAGCGCGTTCCTCCAATCCTCTCAGGATGTCCTCGCCAGCTTCCTTGTACATCCTGTCCAGCTCCGCGTCTCGCATATAATA